TCTAGGCATTGATAATACCGACCACACTATCAGTATACTTTGACGAAAGTTTAGCAGGTGCATGCCTGTGACCCGATTCACGCGCCCTCCATGCATTCACGCGCGCCTTCGCTTGTAAAATAAGTATTCAGAAAGTTTAAATATGATCGATCAATCGGCTTATAATCTGAATGATCAATTCAATTCTCATGCACGAAAACATCTTACAAGCAAATACCTGAAAGCTTTCAGCAGCACTTTCAAGATGCACCCGAATTTAGCCAGGTTTGTATAAGCTGTATTTGTATAAATGTAACGAACGGTTGGCGTCCCTTAGCAGCACGGTATGTCAGAGTATCTATGTTTGTATCTATGGAGCTACCATTAAAACATATCAATTAAGATAAGAGTAAGCAAACTTTTAACTTCGAAATAAACTCGGGTTTTTTCTGGAGGGCAATTAGGCTAGAATGGTGTGTAACGCGCAAATAAAAGTTTTTCTTACACCTTACATTCTTAGGCCATGGGTGTAGCTACTGGAGGTGTGGGGTTGTCATCCCCTCTAATATTTCCAAATAGTGGTACAGTTAGGGCAAACTTTTGGGAATAAAAGGTCCGGCCATTGGAAAGGGTTTCTTATCCCTTGACATACAAATTTAAATCACATATGAATAACTTAAGCATAGATAATTATTTATATTTATTATTTATAATCAATTAAGATAAAATATATCAAATTAACTATTTTTTGCTGAAGTCCTGATTAAATAAATTTTCAGGAATTTACGGAAACGGGATTTCGAGTAGGAATAGCACAGACTTTGCTGAAATTGGTAAAAAGATGTTAATTAATTTTAAAATTGAATTACACCTGAAGCCTTGTTGCCCACTAGTAGCAATGTAAAATGGTTGGATATTATTGTCTTCTATAGCACGTTTGGAGTATTTTGCATCTTCTTACACATGTTCCTGCATTCAGTCAACGGTAGAATCCTGCGCAGATCTTGTGGAGACTACGCAAACTTCTCATATGTAGAGCAGGATAAAGTTTTGCAGGGAGAGAAAATAACAACAGTAATTGTTCCATCCGAAGAAGAATGCGAACTTGCCTGTGTTGATGAGCTGCAATGCAAGTCAATAAACATAGAAAAGAGTAAGAAAGCCAGAAGGTGCGAGCTCAACAAACGCTCTACTGCAGATGCTTCAGACGGGGTAGCACTAACGCCAAAGCAAGGTTGGGTGTACAAGTCAACGAGCTTTACTGAAAATCTGGTATGGAACGAGCAAAATACAATTAATTTCATTGTACCATCAACGTGTATGATACACTTCATCAACCTAAAGGAACTTTTATGTACCTCGAAAGTCAATCTTTCTCAAATGGATGAGCTTAATTTAGTTCATCAGACTATTAATCGAATTAGAGATAGATGTTTATTAGAAAAACTACGGCCAAAACGAAATATATTTTTGACTATCCTGAAGAATTTAGTAACGTTGTACGGCAGCGTTTTTGTTTACCTTTATAATTTGTTTTGTTACACTGTTATTTCAAAGTAGTCTATATTGTGCAACCGTGAGCTCAAGAGTAGACAAGCTGCAGTTCTTTTGATATATAGACGGATCCTATTGCTGTTTTTGGAAGATGGCAGTGTATGACTAATTCTTTATGAAAAAATCTTCTTCTGCATTGCACAGATTCGCTGAACTGATGCCAGAAGGTACTTTATTGCTTGAAGTTCTTTTGATAACTTTTTTGTTTCGTAGATTGGGCACATGTGCAGGAAACTCAATCCATGCGAACCGGAGCATTTGTGTCTCGATGTTTGCTATTCCCCTGGATACAAGTGCACCCATTGCAAGGAGCTTCCACTTGGCATGCCGTGTGTTAGATGTGAGTCAATAATTAAACAATAATACCTTATCTCTTTAAAGATGATACATCATATTAACATGGATCGGGATTGGATTAGAATGACAGGGATCAGGATTGCAACCCTGAAAATTGACGAGTCGTGATCATACAATCGTGATCAAAATCCTGACAGTTCCAATCAATCCCAGTTGAATCCGGTCAAATGGCTTTTGATTGTGATGTCCATGTAGATCCCAAAGAATCAGACCTTGAAAAAGGGATGTTTTGCGACCGCCACTGCTCTCAGACAGTAAAGGCAAAAAGCCATAGAACAGTTGATGAGAATGAACCTCCCAAATCACAATTTCTATTTTGTCTTCAAATCTGCTCAATGTATATAAAACAGTGGATGAGAGTCACTTAGGGTAAGCTTACGTGGTATGGAGAGTCCTCTCTATACCAAGCAATCTGCAAAAATATCAGGACAAAGCGTTCGATCTAATAGAATCTTCAACGGTAAAGGATACTTATGATAAGAGACTTATGAACAGAGAGGTAAAGATAGGGGGCTCAGGGGGATGAGCCTCCCTTGTTGATTCCGAATATTGGTAAATTTCTACTTTTGCTATTGTCATTAGCAACATTTTGTGCAAAAGCCTCATTGCTATTGTTTTTTATTGCACTACACCACTGCCTATGAAGGTAAGTCAATTGATGAAGTTTGACCAAGCAGTTATGACTTGTAAAATTGTCAATCAGCTCTGTCCTAGAGAGCTAAAAAATCAGTTCGTCAAAAGGTCTGCCATAGCAAAATACAACACAAGGAATAGATAGATAAAATCTCCATGCGCAAAAACTAACATTAGATTATACCAAAAGATGTTCTTGTACACTGGTCCATTTGCTTGGAATGAAATCCCAGAATTCATTAAAGATCTCAATTCGTTTTAAAATAGAACTAAGATTTCACCTTTTGAGCTAACATACATCAGCTTGGTCCGAATCAATGGAAGTTCATACAATTTATGTTTTAATCTCTAAGTAAACTTATCAAATGTTTAATGTTATGTAGTTTTTAATTCTGTATATCTTAACTTTTCTCTTTACTGAATGGATATCGTGTATAAATAAGATTAAATGAAAAAAAAATGTCTGATCTTTTATGGTTTCATGCCGAGCTAATTTCTGCTATCTCAAAAGGCGAAATCTTGGTTCTATTTCAAATCGTACGATGGAATCGATATCTCTAATGGATTGTGAGATTTCATCCCAAGCAAATGGACCAGTGTACGAAAAACCTCCTTTAACCTTTGCGAACACTCAGGGACGCCGGAACGACAAAGGGGCGAGGGGGCAGGCTTGAGTAAAAGGGCATTTGAAAGATAATTCCCCGCTACTAGCAATTCTTTCGTAACAGCCATTTTACTTCGATCTTCTTCAGGTATCTTGGACATTTGTTAACTTTTGGCATTATTTTACAAATTTTGAGAAATGTCGTCATGAATTATGCACTAAAATCGGAATTTCATATGACTCTCCCTGATTATTAGAATGGCCGGTTTTAAGGGCACTTTAATGAAAAGGGCACTTTAATGAAAAGGGCACTCTGAACTCCTTTGTTCCTTCTTTTCCAGCGCTCCCTCTTCTCTGGCGTCCCTGCGAACACTAATGCTTACGTGATGCAACTTTTGAAAATCTTTTAAGGAAAACTAGCATTGATTTATGTTTTACCCTCAATCAAACAGCAATCAGTAACATTGCATTTGGGAAAAGTACTTCACAGTCATCGACGTACGCTCCGTATTCAAGCGCCAATGCGGTTGATGGAGGCAGAACTGGCGTTTGGAGTTCAGGTGGTTTTAGCAGATGCATGCACACACAAGCGCAAAGACCTTGGTGGTCTGTAGACTTTGCTGGAAATGCAGTTGTGTATTCAGTTACAATATACTCAAGATTAGATTGCTGTTTTGAACGAGTCAGTGGTCTGCATGTAAAGCTTGGCAACAAAAATGCGTCCAATGCAAATACAATAATTTGGACTACACCCACTTTTTCTTTAAGTCAAACAAAGCGAACGAAAGAATTCAGCCAACCGAGAAAAGGAAAGTTTCTTTATGTGGAGTCGCAGGTAGACAACCATTTAGATTTTTGTGAGGTTGAAGTAATGGGATACCTTGAATAAACTGTTTACCTATACCTAGGAAGTGATGGGATACCTAGGTAGACAACCATTTGGATTTTTGTGAGGTTGAAGTAATGGGGTATCTTCAATAACAGATGAAAAAACCTTTTATAAGGTTACCAAAAGAAAAAATAACTTGTATGAAACAATCATGTTTACAGCTATAATATCAGCACTCAAGTTTTGTATAAATCTTGTTATTAAGAGCACTGTAGAAAATTTTGAGTTAGTTTCTTTGTGCTGCACGAATTTATTTGCATTAAAACCAATCGAAAGGTAATTGAAAAGTTAAACGAACCTTCATGTAGGTGACGTCTGATTGAAATTCATCAGTAGCGAACGGAGGAGCAGTACAAAACATTGTGTCGTTGTGTTTGTGAACCAGTCTTGAGAGAGTACAATAAATCAATGACAATGCTTGAAAATGGCTTTGAAAAAAGAAAACATTTGAGTAAACTAAATCTTTTCGTCTGATATTTTTCAGAGTTGAAAACGTCAGACCATAGATCGAAAACTCTACGCTAGGAAACATATAAACCAAGTTGTGGAACGAAATAGGCCAATCAGAAACACGAGCACATGACTGTTGAGGTTGCCCAATCAGTCCCGCTTGCCTATAGGGATTGTTACCAATGGAGTCCTTAAGTGGAAAAGTGGAAATGAACTCCTTTTGTCTACCCAATAGCTGCAGACAAAACAACCCTCTATCCTGGAGTCATAGAGCATGCGCTCATTTCTTTTACACTAGATGTAAAATCACTATACACAAAAATTTCTCAAGATGAGGATATCAAAGCTTCCCTCGATACCATCAAAACTCATTGTGGGGAGACTACCCCACTGCATGTAAAATAAAACAAATGGCAATATTTATACCCAAACAAAATTATATTGCTCTCTCATTTTGATAAGAACAATTTTATAAGAACCCGAGCCATTAAATTGGTCAAAAGGGATCTTAACATGCCTATGCCTTGCCTAAATTTAGAAATAACTGATCGAAAATGGCTAGCGAATGACAGTTTGGGATCTAGTATGGCGCCAAGTTGTTATTGCTCTTGAACTCTCATTACTGGAGCTCCATTAAAAAGGATGATTCATTGGAATTCTCCGTGTTCAAAAGATAATTTCTACTTTCTACTGCTGGTTGGGTCAGGATTAAAGGACATTTGCCACCTAAGCGCCCACAGTTCAATAATGCAGCACATCAACTAATGCAGCATATGCAGCTTAAAGTATAGTAGCATCTAGACGTAAGCATGTATTGTAAACAATTTTATATGATATAAAAAAACTGCGTAGATTGATGTGTCATCGGCAAATAAGTTTTCCTTACACTTTAAGCCATCAGTCAAGTCATTGATATAGATAAGAAAAAAAGAGGACTCAAGATAGAACCTTGGGGAACACCGGCTGAAATATTACGCCATGTAGATGCTTTGCCATTCAAAACAGTACGCTGTTTTCTATTGTGAAGGCAACTTTCTTCAAACACTTTTCTTTCGCCTCCTCAATTAAATTGGATCCCTGAGATACCACATTGGCAATGACCTCTCGCTTGCATTCTGGCTGTTCATTTCTGATGAAAGTCTTATAAGCCCTGTTCTTTTTCATGATGAAGTTTCTAATTGACTGCGTTATCGAAGGTGCCTGGACAAATCTGAATTTGATTATTTTGTTTGGTATAAGGTTGGAAAGTATATTCAGTAAAAAACTTCATTCAGGTTTTTAACTTGAAGATCTAGGGATTTTGACTTCAGAGAAATTGTTTTAACGCTTGCAGTGATCTTTGATTGCAGTGATCTTTGTTCTATCATAGCCCAAATTCTGCGTTTATATCGAGGTGGAAACATAATTTTTATACTTAGTTTACCAAAAACAATCTGACTGGTTTTTTAAAGACGGGTAAGACCTGATTCAAGAAATAAATTTGGCTGATCATTGTATAAAACATCAATGCAAGATTGAGAATTTCCAGTTAAGTGTGTTGACTAGAAAACTAATATCGTTTGGGGCTGAAAAGAAGTTGAATTTGTTTGGTGTCAAGCAGCTTGAAATTCTTGTTGATAAAAATCTCATCAACACAACGATGAATTATAAATATTTAGATCCTATTTTAACATTTGCGTCATGAAACCTTATGCAGAACGATGGTTTTACCAGTTTATAGCAAAAAGTTTTTTTGGGAAGTTTTAAATCGCATCATAATTACTTTGCATTTATTTATGCTAAACCTTAAATAGATATAACGCCTCCAAAAGAATAGTTTTCTTTTAACTGAATTTATATAAACTGTTACTCAAGCAGCATCTTTCTCAAAAGAGGCGTGGCAGCATACAAATCGATGATGTCACCATAGTCTATCGACTGTAAAATATCACTTTCGACGTTGATTGTTATCAGAGAGGAAAGGCGGTCTTGTCCCATCGTTTGCGTCTTCTACAACACCAGCGAATTCATTTCGAAATGAACTGAGTTGAATTTTAACTGTCGGAAATGGGAGTTTATAAAATAACTGAGACCAGAGCGTTAATTTCCTTTACAAATTTCAGCAATGCGATGATTCCGATAAATACTCTAATTAAAATAAGTAAGAAGGGTTGAGCATGCCCTTTTTTACGACAGGTTTAAAAAAATATGCGACCTTTTGGACAGGATCGATGAAAACCTTACATTTTGTCTAATAGTTCAAATTTTCTGACAAACGTTGGATTTTCCGACAATCCGAAAAAATTTTTGCCAGGGGGGCGGCTGCCCCCCCTGCCCCCCAGCCACTGCGCCCCTGGCTCTTGGAAACAATCATATTGATGGAACGGGAAACAGTCAGAATTCAGTGAAGGAAAGAAAAGCTTGAAAATGTATGCAATTTGAAACTTGAATTTTCGGTTTGATAAAATAGAAAAACGTCAATGGCTCGAAAACTCTTTAGAGTTATTTTCATATGTCCATCAGCATATTTGGATTACCATTGATATACTTTCAGCAACCTTTATGATTTTTTTTAAATATAGTATCTTAATATCAATAAATATTTGCAATTAATTGCTGAAAATATGTATATATGAAATGAATTGACAAAGGAATAAAAATGAAATGAGAGAATAGGGGGAACGAATGGTTCGGCAGTGAGGCATCGCACTGTCAGGCAAAAACGACAATGGAACGATAAGGAACATGTTACCGCAGCAGCCTCCTCTTGTAATAGAAATAGAAGGCAACTCTGATGTAATGAACCAAGACGAAGATGTTTATTGCTGAAGATCAAGAAGATGATGTGGTGGAAGCTGTTGATCAAGTTTAACTGCTCAACAAAACCAAGTTGGTGAATACAGTTAACGCCAGAGCAGTGGTGTCGTGGAGAGGGTTCAGGTTGGCTTAGGCTTATTTGTTAAAATTCAGAGAGACTTTGGGGGCGTGGCAGTGAAATTTAATTTACAGTGCCGTGATATACGGATTCTCGTTTATTTTACACGTGATTGCGTGATGCAGAATGGATGTCTGGTACCCCCATTGTAGTAGAGACCATAGAAATAGTAGCGCTAGAATGCGTGGTCTATCACGTGACGCGTGCGAACTATGGGGAACCAAAATGGTAGCAACAAGTTGGCAAAAAAATACGCGGGAAATCACAGCGGACAGTATAGCCTACCCCTATCACCGTATACGCGCTTGAATTTCTAATTAATCTAATACACTGTTGCTAACATTGAATGATTAATGAACTTTGATAAAAGAAATGGTAGTGTCGTGAGCTGCTTTCGGCTGCCAGAATCGATGGATTCCTAAAAAAGACTTGCTTCCCGGTCAAACAAACACAAGTAAGTAGGCCCGTTGTGTGTACTGTGTTTCTCATTATTCTTAATAGGAATTTGAATAGATAAAAAATATCTTCCAAAAATTCTATGATACTTTCATTAAGTATTCGAAATGATTTTCATTAATGATATTTCTACTATGTTCACAAACAGACAGTAGGTACATAAAATCGGGAGGGCAGTGAACCAAATTAAAAGTCATCTTATGGTTCGTGGCATTAATTCTTCAAAGAGGGTGCAATAGGTGAATTTACTCGGATGCCGAAGATAAATTTTCCTACAATTTCTTACATTGTAGCAAAATTTCCTAACAAACTTTGGTGGAAGGGGGGGCATATAACGTATTCTTATGTATTTCAATAAATACATACTTAAATATGCGGAACAATATATCTCTTTATTTAATGAGTTTATGTGGAAATGCATAGATAGGTTAAATTTCCATTCTTATTCTGTTTTTTTATACAGGATTATAATAAGCAGGGGTGGGAGGGGGGGGGGTTGCGAAAAACTACTGACCTGAAGAAATACCATGGTATGTCCCTATTGGGTACTTTTTAACAAATAACCTAAATGCAAAAATATTGAAATAGCTCATAAGTGAAGCAATTAACCTCCTTGCTGAGAGAGGAGCTAAAGTTCATGCAGTCATCTTTGATGGTGCTCTTAAGAATGTTAGCATGGCTGAGAAACTTGGATGTGATATAAAAAACCTTTGCACATAATTTCCACATCCGTCAAACCCCAATGAAAAGATCTTTGTAATTCTTGATATCTGCCACATGCTGTAGCTTGCAAGAAATGCCTTTTCCACCATCAAGATCTCTTGTACCCCAGGAGGACAAAGAATATCTTGGGAGTATGTTCTTGCACTCTATAGAACACAAAAAAATGACATACTAAATCTTGCAAATAAACTTAAGACAAAGCATATTCAGTGGCAGAATCACAAAATGAAGGTCAGTGTTCAGCACAGATTTTAAGCCATTCTGTGGCATCTGCAATAACTTTTTTGAGAAATCTGGGGTTGCAAGAATTTAAGGACAGCAAAGCAACCAGCGACTTCATCCTTCTGATGAACAATATCTTTGATATGCTTAACTCAAAAAGTAAATTTGGAAAGCATACAAAGAGACCTGAAAACAACAACGCTGTTTACATATATTAATTTGAACTGGAAAAAGTTGATTAAAAACTTCGAAATTTTATCAGAGACCTAACGGCTGGGATTTGATTTCAAGGTAATTTAAGCAAATTTTGTTCCAAGTCTTGAATGCATCAAGTTTCAGCACTGAATCTAAACTAGACACTGAATCACGCTGTTGTTGACACTTTTGTTTACCAGTAACTTCCGCGTTTCTGCTAGGCCAAAAACTTGAGGAATTTATTAAGTACTACTCAAAAATAATATCGCATACCCATTTATAATGGTTAAAGGTTGTCTAATAATAATGAACTTGAACTGAATAAAGCCATAATTAATTACTAAGCTGCCCTAGGAAAGGAAATTTGGTAAAGAGAGGAGTCCAAACAAAATACGAAGAAAAACCGTAAAACGCTGTGGCGTAAGGAAAAAGTAAAAACGTCCCTTACCTTCTTCTATTTTGGCGCTGGAAAGGTTTCATGAAATTTTTCTCCTCATATCACCACGCAGAATCGGTAAGTCCATAACTTCTTATTTGTGTACAACGTACGCCACAAAAGCTTTTTGCCAACATGTTGCTACCATCTTTGCTGCCCATTGGCATTACGCAGAAAACAATAGGCGAACAATAGAGCGCGCATTCTAGCTCTACTATTTCTATGGTAGAGACTGTGCAATTAGATTATAAACTAAATCAGAGGTCAGAGTCTCGCTATGGCCGTCGCTAGCAGGAGGGGGTGCGGGGTTGCGGGAAATCATTGATACTGCGAAGGTGCATTCTCAACTTTTGGCGGGTGATACCATTCCGAGGTTTCGAACAAAAATACAACATTCCAACATTGAGATTATAAGATTCCTAAATGCAGAAGTCTAGTCGACTAAAAAGAGAATTAAAGCAATTATCGAAATCACCATCTCATGGAATTTCTTGCTGGACAGTTGGCGAAAATGTTGATCAATTAGAAGCAAGTAAGTGTTTGAAAAAATCGTCTCGTCTTTTAAAAAGGGTTCTAACGCAAAATGCAGACATTTTTTATCTGGTATGGTGCCTTTTAATATCGTATCGTTGGTCGAGTTTCAACACAGACAACTGTTTTCCAACACTACTTATTGTTTAATTGTTATTGTTATCTTGCAATGAATATAAAATAAATACAAGGATAAAATTCAGAACGGCGGCGAGAATCCGATGTTGTGAAATAAATTTTCCAAAATAAATTAAATTAAACAAATACAAATATTTCGCCTATTTGATATCGTAATTGATAGTTGAGTTTCAACACAGACAACTGTTTGGCAACTCTGCTTATTGTTTAATTGTTATTTTTAAGTCTCTACAAACCGTATAATTTTTGGTTTGGGATATTAGAATAGTGAAATTAGAAGTTTTGTTTGTTGGTTATGAGCATTAAGCTGAAGGGCAATAATTAAAATGAAATGACATGAAAGCTCATCGTTATGAACAAATCCAAATTCATCTCCCATCCAGGCTTTTTATGGACCAAGAACACTGAACACGTTGGTAGAAATAGAAACTGCACTGGTGCCCTTCATTATTTCCGCAGCAAAAATTTGTTTTGTGTTTTTCAGCTATCATAGGACAGGAAGGCACCCCTTATAATGGAGGAGTTTTCAAGCTTTCAATAATAATTCCTGAAAGGTAAATAAACAAATATTTATCTTAATAATGAATTGAATATTAATTATCAAACTTCACTGGATAAATTATATTGTATATGATAATTTTAAAACAAATAAACCTATACTGCAACTCAATTTATAATGCAATGCATAACTATTTTACAGAACAATCTTGATATCTTAATTTTTTAATGACTAGTCATACCTATAACCATTTTAATATTGCATACTTTTGTCATAGACATTCACATGCTGTTCTTATGTTTCTGAATAATTTTATCTCTAGGTATCCTTTTGAACCTCCTCAAGTCAGATTCAAAACCTCAATTTACCACCCAAATATTGACACAGCTGGCAGAATCTGTCTTGATAAACTGAATATGCCCCCAAAGGTAGCACCATCTATTTACAATATCATTTTGTCTTCAGAATTTGTAGACCCTCTGGAAAACAAATTACTATGAGATAGGATTTTTACTGGTTACTTATGCTAAACATTCTTGATATTTGTATCATTACCCAACAGTAGCTGAAAAACATGTGGAGGCATTGAAGTGAGATGGCTTTGCCAATTTCCACAAAATAGTTTTAATGTTTTTTGAGCAACAAGCTGATTTTGTATACCAATCACTAAATGTTGAAATTGTATAATGATCAGCTTTAAGGTGAAAACTGACAGGAATAAATAATTACTTGGTTTTCATACAAGCCCACAGTACCTTTTGTATAAAGCTTAGTAAATACTTTGTAGCAAAAAGGATTTTGGAAACCTTGTTGTGTTCCTGCTGAATGATTCAGAAAGATAACAGAGTCAGATTCAGAATCATAACATTATTCTGCTAAAAGATTAAAACTATTTTTTAAAATTTGCCAAAACTCCTCTATTTCACTTTTTGTATCAAATTTCAGGAAATGATTAACCCATCTGATCTTCAGACCTAGGTTCCTAGTCCTTTTTTGAATTTTCAGCTTTATGGCAACCTATTTATTCAGCTCATTCATAAAATGGAGTATGAAAAATTATCAGTATCCAATTGTCATTGTTTATAACTTCTCAAGGTGCCTTATATGCACCTAGTTGCATGCCCATATGCATCAAGTTTCTTCTCTTTGTTAATGCAAATGATTTATTTTCAGGGAGCCTGGAGGCCAGCACATAACATCTCAACATTACTGAAATCAATCCAGGTTTTAATTGCTGACCCAAATCCTGATGATCCACTCATGATAGAAATTGTAAGAATGTGATTTTAAATTTCAAAACTTCAAATTCATATTTATTTTATTACCAATCAATTCTGCATGCAATGCTGAAATCAACTCAAATTGGGCCTGATGCTCAAGCGAAAAGGGGCAAAGTATTAGGCCTGTTCAGTTTCAGAAAAATTATTGCCTTTTTTCAGCTTGGCCTATTTCAGAAATGAGCCTAATGCTGCAGCATCAATAGCACCCACCTTAATCAGGCCCAGCCTACATAGAATTTTTAAATAACCACAATTACAGTAAGATATAGGCTTTTTCATTTCACATGGGCAACTGCCCTGTGAAAATTTCTTCACAAAAAGGCATAATGCAAACTTTTTAATTAAAAAACTAGTTAAAAAGTTACTGAACTATAGACTAAGACATGGGGAAGAAAATTAAAGGATTATAAGAAGGATAAATTGATTAGGATAGCTCTCTAAGTAAGTAAACCAACAAAAAGAGTGCCCTTTCAACTTACTGCTGCTTTTTCAAGCATCATAACTTAACCAATTATTGCTGATACATCTAAAAAACTGTTATACTGTTATGATTTTGGTCCCTAGTCATCAGAATTCAAATGCAATCGACAACTGTTTGATCAAAAAGCCAAGCAGTGGACTCAGAAATACGCAACAGAAAATGACCTGAAAGCTAGCAAGGTAATTATCTTCACAATATTTTCTGTTTATTTGGAAACACTGTATGTATTGAATTTATCATTACTTTCTTATTACCAAAAGGCACTTTTTGGAACATTATGAGAATACTTTGGCTTCAGAGTTGATGTAGCCTTGAGTTTTTTTCGAGTAAATTAATTTCATCTTTTAAGA